CCGGGGAGCCCCCCCCCCCCCCGCCGGTGTGTGGGAAAGCCGCCCGGCTCGTGGAGATCTGCCCCCCAAACACGCTGGAGCCGGGAAGCCCAGCCCCCTCCTGCTCCGGACCCCAGTGTCCTCCACTGTCAAAGGCTGGCATCACAGCACCAGTAAGATTGGAAAGGATGGTACTCAAATATTTGTGATTATAGAAAGCCCCCAAATCCGCAGAAAAATAAGAGGCAAGTTTTTCTGGATAGAACCTGATACATAAAAAGCCACTGCATTTCTACATAAAAACAAAACTTTTAAAGGATAACAGCCTCAAAATAGGAGGTTTTTAAGAACAAAGGTAAACAAAATTAAGAGACATATGGAAAAATTATTAACCTGTACTGAAAGATGCGAATGAGGACTTACATAATGGGAAACATATGCGATGTTCATAGACTGGAAAATCCAGTTTCAAGATGAAAACGTCTTCTTATTAACACCCACAGAATGAAACAGGCTACAGAAAACGACACAGTATGATGCCTTTATATAAAGAGCAAGACCTGAAAAACTATGCTGTCTGAGAATATAAACAAGCAGGGGAAGAAAAAAAAAACACACACCTTTCTTCCACCCTCTTAGGGTTACTTACTGGGGTCTGTGAATTAAACTGACCAAAGGCAAATTAGAAGAAGCGGCATACAATTTTTATCTAATGCTAATATTTAATTTTTTTTATGTGCCTCCAGGCCTTTGTAGAAAAGCAGTGGAGACCCAAAGAGGTGGTCAGACCCAGGGCCTTGTATGGATTTTAATAAAGGGCAATAAATTTGACAAGAAGTGACAAAACAAAGGAAAGGGAGTTTGGGCTTCTAGGGTAAAGTTCATGTATTGGGGAATTTTATATGGAGAAGCTAAGGGAAGAGAAGCGTTGTTCTATCGAGGTTTGTTTGCGCAGCACCACCTCAGTGCTACTCTGTCTCCAGGGACAAAGGGGGCCCAGGAGAGACGAGGGGCCACACCCTCACAAAGAGGAAGGTGTGTCCTTTCAGGCAGGTGGGGGAGGGCAGAGGGCTCTTTTTGGCATCTGCCACTTCTTTCTTAACTGTCTTCCGCTCAGGACGGTCCCTATGCCAGGGCGGCGCATTTGGGGTGTGTGCCACATTCTGATCCCCTCTCGTGGGTAAAGCAAGGAAGTGATACCCTCACATTTTGAAACAGTAGTTACCTCTCCGGTGGAGGCAGGGCAGGCTCAGTCCACAAGGGCACGCAGGGAGCCTGGGGGTGAAGTTCAGTTTCTTGGCTTGGGGGGTAGGTACCCCGTTGTTCACTGTACTCTTGTTCTTTCAGCTGTACGTGTTTTCACAAAAAATACTCTGCTTTGAAAAACAACAGGAAACTCGTAAGAGAAAAAAGCAGCTACGTCCTGCCCAAAGTAACAACTTTATTTGTCTTCTCAAACACATCAGAGCAAATTTCCCCATTTTCTAATCTTGAAACCAGCAAGACTAGAAAAGAAATGAAGCCACTTTCTGCCCCCGTCGCCCAGTCACACGGGACCGCAGTGAGGACAGAGCCGGCCGCCCGCCCGGGAGCCTGACTGCTGCACTGACAGGCCACACGGGAGGTTACCGACCTAGACTAACGCTGCTCAGCGACCCCAGGTTTTCACTGTCCAGCCATCAGTTCTGATTTTTTCTTAAAATCCTGCAGTGTAGGCGCTGGGGTCGCTCCACTCAGGGTCCTCACGCGCCGCAAGGTCCGAAAGGTACTCTGGCCCCGTGACGGGGTCATCCACAGCCCCCCCCCCCGCCCCGGGGTGGGGCGGGGCGGTCCTCGGACAGCCACACAACCTCCAGGGGCAGCTCCAAGGTCTGCGATTTTGAACGTCAGCAAGCAGTCGGTGAATGTCGCCAAGGCACGCAGGAACCACGTGGCGTGGTGGGGTTTCTTCCTGAACCTAAAATGCCTACCCTCTGGCCTGGATGGATTTTCTACAATTGGCAGTGCATTTCAGGGCAGGCCAGTGACTGGAAACATTTCCCAGGGACGATAAAGACTGGAGACCCTCTCGGGGGCCCTGGTGAGGCAGCCCAGTCAATTCCACGGCGCGTCCATGGCGCCCACGGTCCCCCGCGCAGAGCTCGCGCACCTTTGCTTTCCTCCCCACCGAGGGCAAACATCAACAAGACGGCAGCATCTCCTTCCTTCTCATCCTCAGGCTTTTCACTCACCCGCCAGTTATCAAATCATTCAACTTGCACAATCACTTAATAACATGGTCTCCTAAAAAACCACTGTTGAGGCCGCCCTTTCACCCGCCCTGGGTGGGAATGAATGGTGACACAGGACATTTCACGCGTACTTCCAAATAGAAACCGCTGCAAAGGAATTCCAAAAATAAACCATGTCTGTTAGATGCTAAAGCGGCTGCCCGGACCCTGCGTGAAAGGCGGCGGCCGCTTACACTGCCTCTCGTTAACAGTCAAACTCCCTCTTCACAAATCCAAGGTGAAGCTGCATCCTCTCACGTTTCAGCTAAAGCTCTTTTAGATGCGTCTCCCACGCACCGAAGCACGAACACAAACTAAAACAAGGCCCAGGCGAGGGGCGGCCCTGGGCCCGGGGAGGCCCCAGCACTTGAGCAGAAACAAACGAAAACACTGACAGTGAGGACACCGTTTATCCTCTTCTGGTTTAAAGGCCAGAACTTTCAATAAATATATAGAAATAAGTTGTGAAGATAAGAAAGGAACAAACCTGGACCACGTGGTACAGACTCGGGGCTGCGCCCATGGGACCCCGGGGCGTGGGACCCTCCCCTGGGGGTGGGGAGCTCGGGCTGGAGTTCACACAGTTCGCACAGGAACGTCTCAACGGCTGCTTTCTGTCTCCCCACAAAGCCCAGCTATGGCATCCCCGCTGTGCGGATAGAAAGCTCCGGGATTCCAAATTTAAAAGAGTTAAAACCCTCGCGAGGGTTTTGCAAGCCGCCCGTTTCCAGAGCTCCTGATTGTCCTCGCTCCCTGCTGGACTGTCTAGAGACACCACTGTGACTTTTCAAGCTACAGTGGCATCGTTACTTGGAGTGTTCTTCTCACCCGCTAGAATGGGCTACTCTGGAAGCGTCGCTTCGGGCAGGACTGTGATGTTGCACTGTAGTCGCCCGGGACAGGAAGGGTCCAGTAATAATGCCTTAATCGCAAGTTAAGATGCAGGTACTACAAAGGCAAAGAGAACCAACTACTTTCCACAACTTGATCACAAGCTACTACAGGGTAAGTCTTGCCAAGCAGATCGGTGACCCTGTAGACACTCGTGTCCTGGTGGCGTGACCTCAACGGAAAGCATTCACGTCGCGTTGTCCCTACAGTTATTGCGACAGAGCCGCAAGTGGGCCGCTGTAACATCTGCGCCGTCAGCATGGTTGAAATCTAAGAAGCCAAGCGCTCCCAAATCAACAAGCGCCACTTGCTGAGGGTAAGTTACATGAAACGCAACCCAAAGACTCACACAGAACTGAAAACGCCAAATACGTCCACAGAATTGTTGACAAAAGGTATTTTTTCTAAAATCAAGATTTAACTATCAAAAATAAATTTCTAAGTCTGAATGCACATCAACGTAATTGGTCTGCAGTAATTTTCTTCAATACGCTCCCGCTTCCCAAGCACAGCGAGGCCGGTGACGCGAGGCGGCGGCTCAGCGGTGCGACTCCTGCTTCGAGTTCTCCTCGATTCCTCGTGCAAAGAGCCGGACCAGCTGGCAGTGGACCCTGCAGAGACAAAGGGCCACACTCAGACCCTGCGCGTCCCCTGACTCTCGGCCCCCCAGCTGGTCGAGGGCGGAGGTGGGCCTCATGCACCAGGACGGTGGGTCTCACCGTGGCAGTCTCTGGTCCCACCCGGCAGCGACAGGCCAGGGGCGCAGAGCAACTTCCTGACACTCCTGAGAGACCTACTCTGCAAAGGGCAGCTGACGGCCAAGTGGAGATCCGGGACCCCGTAGACCCGGTTCTAATTCCAGCGCCCCACCCGCGAGCAGAGGCCGCCTCTCTCCCTGCCTCAGTCTCCTTATGAGGACTGAGCTGACGGGGCCATGGGGAGGGTCCCCTGAAGGGCAAGCCCGAGCGAGTAGGAGACGCGGGAAATGTGCAGTCACGGAAGACAAGTGTCGCCACGCCAGCCCAAGCGCCCGCCTTCCACAGAGAGCCACAGCACATGAGCGGGGGCTCGGAGGTCAGCGTGGGCTCTGGGGTCCCACCGGCAGTGCCGCCGTCCCGCTTGATGAATGACGTCACAGCCTCCTGAGAGACGGTTAGTCCCAAAGACCCCATAAGTAAGTGACTCGCTGTTCAAGGCAGCGCAATCTTTATCCAGATGTGTAGGATATATTTCACAAAAGAATGCCTTTTTTAACTTTCAGCAATTCATAAGCCGGCATTAAGAATAATTCCGTTTCCTTAACTTGTGAAATGAGTCTACAGGAGCCGAACCCCTGCACGCACGACTGGCAGGCAGGGCGGGTTCGCCTGTGACCTTGGAGCCGCCTCTTGTCCTGAGATGTGAGCAGGGCGGTCACTGCCACACTGGCCGCGTCCTGCTCGCAAGAGCAGGGAGCACGCAGACTGGGACTGGGGGAGGCTGGAGAGCCTGCCCCTGCCCGCGGCTTTGGCTTGCACGCTTAACAGGCAGGAGACCCAGCTGGGACCAGCAGCTGGTTGGCTGAGAAGCCACTTAGAGTGGGGATTATAAACGGGGATACTACGCAGCATCCTGAAACATGGAAGGGCGCACCCGCCACCCATCCTTCCAGGCAGCGGGGGCGGGGGCCTACAGGCTCGCTCCTGACCGCCTTGCTCGTGTAACACCCACTCTGCTATCGCCAGCGAGAGTCCAGTTTGGATTCCTTAAGGTCGACCAAGATCCTAAAGCCATTGGTCACAGGACAGAATCCTTCTAGAACTTTACAGTTCTCCCTCAGTCTCTTGTAACTGTTACACGCACACCTCAATCAACAGCCTTTTTCTAAAAAACAGTTTCCTTTACTGTGTCTTTCAGTGGGACAAAAAACCATGTTCTTGGCACTCCTATTTCATCTGGCGATGTAATAAATACATAGAATCAGACTTCAGATTCCCAAGTCCAAACACAGCAGGCCCAGTAGGTTCAGAGCCGGAGGGGCGGGCCTGGTGCCTGGACCACAGCACGGCCGCGGGCTGGGCTCCCTGGGGCCAGAGCATCTCCGGGTGGTCAGTGGATCCAGGACTTGGAAAATGCCCACAGAGGTGCTTTGTTAGTTTGTTTAACTAGTGAGGAGACAAGAGAGGGAATGCCAGTGCTGGCAGTGCAGGATGTGGCGCAGAAAAATAAAACTGAGGGGCTTCAAAGCCTGTGAAAAGACCGACCCCTCAGCATCCTTCCAAACCTGAGGTCACGGCGTCTCCCTGGGGATTTCACCCGGGGAAACACACGTGCGTCTGTGACGCACTCTTATGCTTTAGGCTGTGAGGGCGCCAGGCTCACAGAGCCCCAGCTCCACCTTCACTCACCTGACCTCGATGGCAGGGCTGCTCAGAACCTCCCCGTCGCAGTTCCAGGCGCTGCTGGAGACGGTGCAGCAGCACGGGGGGCGGTCGCTACACAGCTGCCCCAATCGCTTCTCCCCGCGGCCCCAGACGCTGCCGTCCTCGTCCTCCGCAGGCTTCGACACAAACTGGAACTTCTTGACGCGATAGACTTCGACGAAAGTGAAGTCGAACTACCAAGAGACAGCAGGACGGAAACATGCTCTCAGCGCTGCTGCGCTGGGGGCGGGACAGCCATCGGGGCCTCCCGGCTGCTCCTCGCCCCGCAGCTCAGGGACGAGAGAAGTGGTCACCACGACTCTCACAACCCGGTCCCATCCACAGTGAATGACACAGAGTAAAGAACTCTGCGGCTCCTGAGCAGCGACTTGTACGACTATTTACCTTTTTAACAAGCAGTATTTTAAAAGCCACATAAAAACGCTGTTGGCCCAGATCTTAAAAAAATTTAACAGCCACAAACTTGACTAAAATTGTAGACTGATCAGAAGTTGCAACAGTCTGGGTATTGTTAGACTCGCCCTCCCCGGCCCCGTGTCACTACAAGGGTGCCAGTGACTAAGGAAAGGCTTTTGCTAGAAGAGTCTCCCTTTCCGGGAGCTGAAAGATTTTGTTGTGAGTGACCAGCAAGGGCAACAGAAGGTTGCACTGCATCACTTCATTCTGTTTTTAAACAGGAAGAGAAACATTCACGCCTCCTAGTTCCTCTGCTCAAAGACTTTATATTTTCAAATGAGATTTTACAAGCAGTAACGATGACTAAGACTTCAAAGTGGGTGAAACGCAAACAGAAACATCTGTCCTTCTTTCCCTTGAGTTCACAGCCGATCCTACAACACAGACATCGGGGTCGCCCAGGCAGAAGCGGCCGCCGACGCAGGCCACGTGGAAGCAGAGGTGCCCGTACCTGGTCGCCCTGGTTGGTGTGCCTGACGAGAAACCTCAGGAAGTTGAACCGGGAGCACTTCCGGATGAGGATGAGGTCGGAAGACCCATCTCCCAGGTGGGCGGCCGGGGAGAGCCCCTGGGGGCTCCGGGGACAAGCACAGGACATGTTGGTGGCGTTGATGGCCAGGAACTGCCCGCAGACGACCTTCCACTCTTCCACCTCCTCTGAAGCAGGAAGAAGCATTGCAGATGCCACGTTAACTCCGAGCCGGGCAGGCGGGCGTCCTGAGATGACCGGGAGGGGTCGTCTCTACAGACGCACCACGCGATCGCTTCTCAGCGTCAACACAAAGAAATCTGCGCCCGCCACTGTGCCCGGCGGTCACCTCCCGAGAGGAAGAGCTGTTCCTCGGGCCCTCGCCTGGGACTTGGGACCACGATCTAGAGCAGGGGTCGCCAAATCTGGCCCACCACCTACCTGACTGGGTGTGGCCTGCGAGCTAAGAATGGGTTTTACATTTCTAAGTGGTTAAAAAAAAAAATCAAAAGAAGGAAAGTATTTTGTGACATGTGAAAATGACGTGAAACTCAAATTTCAGCGTCCACGAACAGTTTCTGGAGCACTGCTGAGCCCACTCGCTGACCCCCGTTCCGGACCATTCTAGGGACAGGCGCCTGGCTGGCGCCACAAGAGTAGTTCAGAGGGACGTGGCAAGATGGGCCCTTCCACAAAATCCCCTCTTTTCCCCAGAGTCTGGCAAAGGCAACCACGCACTCTGCCTGGAGATGAAGTGGAAGCAGGTGCCCCTGCAGAGAAGTGGGGGGAGGGGCGAGCCCCGAGGCCCCGGGCAGGTCCCCCCGGCCGAGCCGGCCCAGCCACGTTACCGGCGCTCTCCAAGCCGTACAGCGACCTTTTCCGCTCCTCCTCCAGCTGCCGCTTGCTCTGCCTGCAGACAAAGCACCTGGAGGACAAGAACACGCCCCCCCTTGCCTGTAACCTAGACTGCAAAAGCATTTCAATTCTTTGCATATTTCAGAGGCTTTGCTTAAAAATATTTGGTTTGCATATTAATTTGAGTTCTCAGAATCAGATCCACTCTTAAAAATTACACAGACAACATATCCGTTTTGGAAATTGATAAACATTACAAAAAGCAAACGGCATCCCATGAGGCCCTTCTGTTGCCCCTGGGGGGTGGGCTGACGGAGCAAAGAACAAGGTGCAGGTCCCAGCGTGGATTCCCGGCCTGAGACTTTGTTCCCTTTCACAAAACAGGTAACACAGCGGTGACCTGGTCCAGTCAGTAACGAGCAAGTGAACGGCTCAGAGCAGCTGTCGCGGGACTTGGTCGTTGGTCTGAAAGGTGTTTGTGGTGCTGGGCACCGCTGGATGCAGGCCGTCGAACGGCCGCGCCCCTAACTCTTTGATTTTATGGCCTCAAATTCTTCACTTAAAGGAGAGACCAGGGGAAGGAAGGGCCCACATCTGAATGACTTAAAGGAGGAAGGAAAACCCCCGAGTTCATATAAAACCCCTCAGCCTCTCCGCGTCCTCAGACTGAGGAGCAGGGACGAGATGCGGGCTGTCGGGCCGCGGGTACAGGTGACAACCCGACACTCGTTCCAAGTTAACCCGGGCACACGCTGTTGGGCACGGTGGGGACACACAGGGCGACAAGGCAGCATGACACGCAGAGGGGCCCCCACTGCTGGCCCGGGGTCTGGACCGGCCTCTCCTGACCACCCAGTGGGGGGACAGGGGGCCCGTCCAGCCAGCTCCACGGGCACCGCAAGGGCGCGCACAGAGCTGTCCATACGGGGGCTCGTCTGCATCATTTCTCACATCCCCGGATCCCCGCACTGGGGCAGACGGCGAGGTGTGAGCCCTCTGCTGGGTAGAAGACGGGGACCAGACCTGACCCTGGGCCGCCCCGTGACCCAGGACCCAGCGTGGGGGACACAGCGGGACCCCCTCAGGGTGCGTGGGACCCTGACCGCTGGTCAGGAGGAAGCAGCCCCTCCCGTCTACGTTGCCCAGCACTGCCCGCTCACTTCACAGCAGGAGCAAACCCCAGCCAGTCCTGCTTCTCGCTCATCGTTTGAGCAGAAACGCACGTGAGGGATGTGCTTACCCCGCCCGGCAGGGTGTCCTGTCCCTCGGGGAGCCCACCGTGTGCTGCGCCGGCAGGAAGGACACTGTCCCTTCGTAGCAGTGATGGGAGAGGAAGGTCTTCAAACCTGAGGACAGAGCGAGACGGAGAGACACGCCCACGCGCGCCACGGCCTGCGCGGGAGGCCGCGCCGCCAGCATCGGCGGAGCGCGGGTGCGGGGCCCCTGCCTGGGGACAGAGCGTCCGCAGGAGGACATGGCCCCCTCCCACTTCAGGCTGGGCTGCCACCGCCATCACACAGGACTGCAGGCTCCCGGCCACCAGGGCTGCCTTCCACCCTGGCAAAGGGGACGTCTTGGCCACCAGTGACCCCTCGTCGTGGCCTCGATGACGTGGCCTGCAGGTTCCGCCCGGTGAAGCCCCCGGCGCACCCCCACGCTTGACCCCATCATCCACAACTTTGGTGTCTTGGAGGAACTCAGGGAAAAGACCAGGCAGCACTGCCACCAGACCGTGGCCGGCCCCTCTGGCAAACTGTGGGTGCTGTCCATCGAGCTGCCTGCGCCCCCAGCACGCCCGGGCTGAGGGAGGTGAGGGGCTGCAGAAGAGTGTGGAGCGAGCAGAGGCCGGGTCATGAGGTCGAAGGAAAGAGGCCGCCTCCTAACATTGAAGTGCCAGGGGAAGCAGCAAGTGCCGGTGCAGAAGCTGCAGCCAGCGGGCCAGGAGACCCAGCTAAGATCATTCACGAAGCTGGCTCCACCAAACAACAGATTTTCAGTGCAGAGGAGACAGCCTTCTACTGGAAGAAGATGCCACCCAGAGGACTTCCCCAGCTGGAGAGGAGAGGTCGCTGCCTGGCTTCAGAGCTCCAGAGGACAGATAGGCTGGCTCTCCGGTTAGGGGTGGCTTTAAGTTGAAGCCAGTGCTCATTTACCATCTGAAGATCCTGGGGCCCTTAAGAATTATGCTAGATCCACTCTGCCTGTGCTCTGTAAATGGAACAACAAAGCCTGTTTATAAACACATCTATTTACAACATGATTAACTGACTATTTTAAGCCCACTGTTGAGACCTACTGCTCAGAAAAAAAGATTTCTTTCAAAATGTTACTGCTCGGGCTTCCCTGGTGGCGCAGTGGTTGAGAGCCCGCCTGCCGATGCGGGGGACGCGGGTTCGTGTCCCGGCCCGGGAGGATCCCACATGCCACGGGGTGGCTGGGCCCGTGAGCCATGGCCGCTGAGCCTGCGCGTCCGGAGCCTGTGCTCCGCAACAGGAGAGGCCACAACAGTGAGAGGCCCACGTACCGCAAAAAAAAAAAAAAAAAAAAAAGTTACTGCTCAATGACAATGCACCTGGTCACCCAAGAGCTCTGAGGGAGATGGACGAGATTCATGTTGTTTTCATGCCTGACAACACAACACTCATTCTGCAGCCCATGGATCAAGGAGTCATTTCAACTTTCTTTTCTTTTTTTAAAATTTAATTCATTTATTTATTTTTGGTATGTTGGGTCTTCGTTGCTATGTGCAGGCTTTCTCTACTCGTCATTGCTGTGTGTGCCCTTCTCACTGCGGTGGCTTCTCTTGTTGCAGAGCATGGGCTCTAGGCGCGTGGGCTTCAGAAGTTGTGGCACACGGGCTCAGTAGTTGCAGCTCGTGGGCTCCAGAGCGCAGGCTCAGTAGTTGTGGCGCACGGGCTTAGTTGCTCCGTGGCATGTGGGATCTTCCTGGACCAGGGCTCGAACCCGTGTCCCCTGCATTGGCAGGCGGATTCTTAACCGCTGCACCACCAGGGAAGTCCCCATTTCAACTTTCAAGTCTTACTCCTTAATAAATACATTTTGTAAGGCTATAGTTGCCACAGACAGTAATTTCTCTCATGGATCTGGGCAAAGTAAACCGAAAACCTTCACCGTCCAGATGCCATTAAGAACATCTGGGATGATTCATGGGAAGAGTTCAAAATATCAACATTAACAGGAGTTTGGAAGACGTTGATTCCAACCCTCCTGGATGACTTGGAGGGGTTCAGACCTCAGTGGAGGAAGTCACTGCAGATGTGGTGGAAACAGCAAGAGAACTAGAATCAGAAGTGGAGCCTGGGGCTTCCCTGGTGGCGCAGTGGTTAAGAATCCACCCGCCAATGCAGGGGTCACGGGTTCGAGCCCTGGTCCGGGAAGATCCCACATGCCGCGGAGCAACTAAGCCCGTGCGCCACAACTACTGAGCCCGCGCACCTAGAGCCTGAGCTCCGCAACAAGAGAAGCCACTGCAATGAGAAGCCTGCGCACCACAATGAAGAGAAGCCCCTACTCGCCGCAACAAGAGAAAGCCCGCGCGCAGCAACGAAGACCCAGTGCAGCCAAAAATTAAATAAATAAATAAATTTATAAAATAACATTAGAAAAAAGAAAAAGTTTTTTTTAAAAAAGAAGTGGAGCCTGAAGATGGGACCGTACTGCTGCATCTCATGATAAAATGTTAATGGATGAGGAGTTGCTTCTTATGGATGAGCAAAGAGAGCGGCTTCTTGAGATGGAATCTACTCCTGGTGAAGATGCTGTGGAGATTGTTAAGATGACAGCGAAGGATGTAGAATATGACGTAAACTTAGCTGATAGAGCAGCGGCAGGGTCTGAGAGGACTGACTCCGCTTTTGAAAGAAGGTCTACTGTGGGGAAAGTGCTATCAAATTTCACTGCAGGCCACAAAGCGATCGTTCCTGAAAGGAAGGGTCGACCGATGCAGCAGACTTCACTGCTGTCGTATTTTAAGGCAACGCGGCGGCCCCCCCACAGCCCTCAGCACCCACGAGCCTGATCCGTCAGCAGCCATCCACATCGAGGCAAGACGCAGCACAAAGGTTACGACTTACTGAAGGCGCCCGTGACGCAGAGCACCCTTTAACCGTGAAGCATTATATCTTTATTTTAGACGTAATGCTGTTGCACACTTAACAGACCACAGTATAGCCTAAACATAACTTTTATATGCACTGGGAATGCAAAAAATTCGTGTGACTTGCTTTATTTTGATACTTGCTTTCTGAAGGTGGTCTGGAACTGAACCCTAAATATCTCCAAAGGTGTGCCTGTAAATTTACCCAAAAGTAACCTATAAAGGGCAGTGACCAGAGAAATGACACTCATTAAATACAGCCAAGCCATCATCAAAAAATCTACAAACAATAAATGCTGGAGAGGGTGTGGAGAAAAGGGAACCCTCTTGCACTGTTGGTGGGAATGTAAATTGATACAAGCCACTGTGGAGAATAGTATGGAGGTTCCTTAAAAAACTAAAAATAGAACTACCATACGACCCAGCAATCCCACTACTGGGCATATACCCTGAGAAAACCATAATTCAAAAAGAGTCATGTACCACAATGGTCACTGCAGCTCTATTTACAATAGCCAGGACACGGAAGCAACCTAAGTGTCCATCGACAGATGAATGGATAAAGAAGATGTGGCACATATATACAGTGGAATATTACTCAGCCATAAAAAGAAAGGAAATTGAGTTCTTTGTAGTGAGGTGGATGGACCTAGAGTCTGTCATACAGAGTGAAGTAAGTCAGAAAGAGAGAAACAAATACCACATGCTAACACATATATATGGAATCTAAAAAAAAAAGGTTCTGATGAACCTAGGGACAGGACAGGAATAAAGACGCAGATGTAGAGAATGGACCTGAGGACACGGGGAGGGGGAAGGGTAAGCTGGGACGAAGTGAGAGAGTGGCATTGACGCATATACACTACCAAATGTAAAATAGATGGCTAGTAGGAAGCAGCCGCATAGCACAGGGAGATCAGCTTGGTGCTTTGTGACCACCTAGAGGAGGTGGGATAGGGAGGGTGGGAGGGAGGGAGACGCAAGAGGGAGGAGATATGGGGATATATGTATGCATATGGCTGACTTACTTTGTCATACAGCGGAAACTAACACAACAGTGTAAAGCAATTATATTCCAATAAAGATGTTAAAAAATAAAATAAAATAGTACTATAAGTCCCTGCAAATAAATAAATACAGCCAAGGCATTCATCTCAGCACCAAGTGTCAAACTTTGAATCCTACATCCTTTCAAACTTTTTTTCTGCATTTAAACGCATTTGAAGGCTGAAGGGTGGTGCTGCATGTGACCTGAAAGGGCAGACCATCACTTGTTTGTACGATCTGGGATCGACCTCCACTCCTCTTTGTTCCAGCTCTGAGCACATGTGAGAACTGGCCTGTGACCGACGGCAGTGGTTCTCCGGGCACCCGGGACCCGTCAGGCTCTCGCCCCCTGGTTTCCGTCTGTGAACGGGGCCCCACCCTGAGCGAGGCAGAGGCCGTGTGTGCAAGCTCCCGGCGTGGTACTCTTGAGTTACCTGAGAAGTCGTATCTGATGAGACCCATCCACCGCTTCTGCTCGCTGTCCTTGATGATGTCCCCGTAGAAGCCGTAGCCTAGCAGGGACACTGAGTACCGCAGCAGCGTGCTGTTGTGATGCACAGAGGACACGTCCATGGGCAGCGAGTCCCCTGCGTAGAGAAGCCAGGGTGGACGCCGCGCCCCTCCGCCTGTCCCGCTGCACAGCGCCCGGCGGCCGTGGCGGAGCCGCGGATTAAAGCGTGAGACAGGCAGAGGCAGTCAAGGCCGTGGGCTGTTCTCCCGGGGAGCCCGGCCTCCTGCTCTCCACTCAAGTGACTAAAATGGACTCAAATTTCCAAAACGGGCTTGGAAAGCTGTTCCGTAAGGAGGGGAAAACAATGTGACCGTGAAGCTCACTAAATGCCACTAACAGAGAGGAAGGTGGAAAAGGCGCCTGGCATCTTCAAATGTAAAATCACACGTGCACCGTCTGTAAACACAGCCGTTCTGTGACTCTGGATGACACGTGAGGAGCACTGCCACCAGGGACAAGGACGGGCAGAGGGAGCCACACGTGTGTGCCGAGGGTGCCTGGACAGCTCCGAGCAGCTTTACAAGCAGCCTGGGGCTTCCTACCCCGGGGGACATGCTTTCTAGAGGAGCGGGGGTGGGGGTGTGTGTGTGACTGGGGAGGCCTGTCCCCACAGGGCGACAAGGGGCCGAGTCCCGAGCAGGGATGAGGGGGCGGACGTGTCGGGCAGAGGAGCTCCTGGCCAGCGCAGGGGATGCCACGGAGAACCACCGGGGCGCGGGCGCCCCCAATGCTCTGGAGAGAGCACCAGAGGGTTCCGAGCAGAGCAGCGCTTCTGGATGGGAAGTGGCAGGGAAGGGTGGCAGCCAGGGCCCTGCGGGCGGACGGACGGGCACCCACACGGCGAGGCGGACCGACACCCGCGTGTGCCCGGGGACCTGGGATGGAGCAAGCCAAGTGCGGCATTGAGAGAGGCACCTACCCACGACGATGTGCAGAGCCGAGGTCTCCGCGTCGTTCGTGCCAACCGTTGAGTAACACACACAGTCTGTCGACCCTAAAAGGGGAGGGGAAGGTCCTTAATATCACTACAATCACTTAAGATCCCAGCGTGTCTTCCAGGGGAATGAGTGGTAAAGCTCTTCCGTGGCCCTGGAGTAAATAAGGAATAAGCTCCGTGTGCCTCCAAAATTAGTCACTGAGGTTGGTTCAGCAAGAGTACTGAGACTGACCTTGACTACCATCAACCAGCTCCTCACAGAGTTCAGAGACCCCTCCTGAGCCCGTCTGGGGGGCGGGGCCCCTGGGAAGTCCCTGCAGCGGGGGCAGCGGGGCGCCAGGGCGCAAGTCTCAGCGCTCTGCACGGGGTCCCCGCTCCTGGCTGCCACAAAGGTGGGCAGCAGCCCTGGGGCTCCTGATCACAAGACCAGAGGGACTCTGCAGTGGGAAAGTGCATGCAAAGCAAGGACAGCTCGTGGAGGTCACAGAAAAAGCACCGCAGACCTGTGCGCGGCGAGAGACCCGGAGCCTCAGCCCACCCCTGGGTCATGAGGGCGCAGCAGGTGCCGGCTGACAGACGTGAGGGGCCAGCGGGACCCGCTCTGAACCCCACCGGCTCGGCCGGGGCTCTGCCTCCTCCTGCCCACACCCCTGTCTATAGAGTGGAGGTGACCTCAGAGCACCCAGCTAGCACCGGGATCCCGAGGGCACGGCAGTGATGCTACGGGTCCTCCCTCGGTCTGTCCTGGTTCTAACTGGGTCATCACCCACGTCTCTGTTCTCCACCTGAGTGGGCAGAACACCTCCCGGGTGCTTATTTATAACACACTCCTGAGCCCCGCCCCACCCCCGAGATCCTGACTCAGTAGGTTTGGGTTGGGGCCGAGCGATCTGAATTTTAACACATCTGCTGAATAGCCGAAAACCCTAGTCTAGATTTCCCAAGAATAAACCCTGACGGTATCCAGAATGGCACCATAAACGTTGCCTCAGACACACAACCAACACAGGTTGAGGCCCATCAGGGAATAACCATCCTGTTAACAGGCACACAAGCTCTGGCCGCAGGCAGGACCCAGATACTGTGCCCTCAGGCCCCGGAACATTCTATAAGGCCCTCAGCCTAAGGGGCGCCTGAAAGTCCATGGTTCTAAATAGACGCGCTGGATCGCAGGCATCTCTTAGAGCAACAGAATCTGGTCCAGTTTGAGATCAGAGTAGAAGCCTCTTAACTATTTAATCTAAGCTAACATATGCCTTCTTATGGTCGGAAACTTATATAAACACATACAGACTGATATATTTTTTAATATGTGTATTTTTCTTTTTTGTTAATCTTAACCTGAAGGCTTGAATGACATCTCATTCCAAAAATGGGCCGAAAAGTAAAACGGTTTAAATGCACATTTAAGATTACAGGAGTGACTTAATTCTTAAACTGGAATTAACAGTATTTAAGGAAAACTACGTGGTTTCAGACTATCTTCCACACCCTTATTTTTCTAACTGAGGGTACCCGTACCCGAATAACGGGTATAAACATTTCTAAGAAAATAAACTACAAAAGAGCCACGAAATTACCTTGTAGCACACCTTCATATCCCTAGAGCTTCCCAGAATTTCCAGAGCCCACGTGCTCCCCTTACGTGCCTACTGCACTGTTTAATTTCTTCACAAACCATCCTTTAGAACAAAAACGGATCAGACATCCAACATCCCCTGCATTTTTAAAAAAATTAATTAATTATTTTATTTTTATTTTTGGCCGCCTTGGGTCTTCGTTGCTGCACGCGGGTTTTCTCTACTTGTGGCGAGCGGGGGCTACTCTTCGTTGCAGTGCACGGGCTTATTGCGGTGGCTTCTCTTGTTGCGGAGCACGGGCTCTAGGCATGGGGGCTTCAGTAGTTGTGGCACGCGGGCTCTAAAGCACAGGCTCAGTAGTTGTGGCGCACAGGCTTAGTTGCTCGGCAGCATGTGGGAGCTTCCCGGACCAGGGCTCGAACCCGAGTCCCCTGCATCGGCAGGCGGATTCTTAACCACTGCGCCACCAGGGAAGTCCCCTCCCCTGCATTTTTTCAGATATAACTTGTATATTCAGCAGTCTTTTAATCAGTAGAAATTCAGCAGTGATCTCAAATAAAAATGAAGAAACGAGTGGTCTGCACTTTGCACCATGTCCTTTTGATCTTTAAAGTCCCTCTTTATTTCTGGGTCTAACTTGCTCTATTAAACAGATGTTAGAATCAAGTTGAAAGTCTCATAAAGGGATCTGTCTCGAGTAGGGAAAAAATCCGCAGCACTTCTGACCTGCTGCATCATCCTTTTTACAGCCACAACAAAGACGGGCCCTTTTTGATGACCCTTCTCAACAACAGCATCTTGTCACAGAAGCTGCTTGAGAGGCACCTCGTGTGGGAACAGTGGGCAGGACAGGGACAGGCTGAAGGCCACTGGTCAGACAGTCAGTCCTGGGCCACACCTGGGGCAAACCGCCCGCTCTAGAGGGCTGGGCTGGACGTGGCCCACTTTTCTGAGTTCATTCACTAGGAACTAACCACAAACGCTTCCACCGAGGGTGTGAGATGGCGCAGAACCTACAGGCACCTGAACTCTACAGAAAAAAGCAGAGGGCTCAGGGGGGGCTGCCCCGGGCTGGGGCACACGCATTCACTGTCACCCAAGTCCTTAGGGCAACAAATAGGGTAAGTGAACCGAGTTTCTAGTAGGTTTCAGGGGTCACTTTGCTGAAAAATCAGACGTTTAAAGAAGGTACTCAGCTCAGCATCCTCCACGGGGCCACCTCCCCCCTGCCCCCCCAGCAGCTCCCACCTCCATCCACTCTGCCTCTCACTCACCCTGCTCACGTCGGCACCACCCACAGCCAAGCCTTTCCTGCCTCGGGGTCATCGCCTGTGCTGCTCCTCCGGCGTAGAACGTCATGCCCCAGATGCAGGGTGCTGTCCCCCACCCTTCAGGCCTCTGAGTGGGATCACACATGGAAGGCCCCCTGCGCCTGTCCGGACCGTGCTCCCCCGGGCCCCACTGCTCTGTTCTCTCCGTTTCATGCTCATCACCTGCCTCTCCCCCTGGACTCCCTGCGTCCCCGCTGTGTTCCCTCGCGGGGTCCCCAGCGAGGCCAGCCCACAGGAGGCCAGCAGAACGTACGCACGAGGACCCACCGAGGGAACGGATGGACAGAGCACGGGGTGTCTGCGGGCTGTGGACCCCTGTGCTTTGGTCTGGCAGCCGGGGCACCAGCAGACAGCCACTTCAGGGCAGGAGAACGTCTGATTCTTTTTCATCCCCCAAACACCACTTCTTGCTTTTTTAACATTCAGTCTGCTTCCGACAGCTCACTGTCCCCTCTGGGGACAACGTAACTCCCAGAGATCTCTGTGCGGTGAAGACTTTATTTAACCCAGAGGGAGCGCCAGCTCCAGACGTAAGATCTGGTTCATCTCGGGCGTCAGGAGCCTCCTGATCCCCAGCCCCTGTGCCCCAGAGCCACCTGCAGCCTGCCCCTCCTCGAGGCCCCACCTGGGAGGCGGCCCTCCCGGAAGCTGTGTCACCCGGCCCAGGGCAGAGGCAGGGGGCATGTGCCCTTCTTCTTGCAAGCACAGTCTGGGCACTGCTGTCTCCCCGCCCCCACTGTGCCGGCCTTCCTGAGACCTGAGCAGGCCCAGGCAGGACCACCCAGCTCCGAACCCCGACACACTGTCCCTGAGCTCCACGGCCAGTGCCCACAGCCCAGTGCCAGGGGGCTCCTGCTGGCGGGCTTGGGCTGGCTGCGCCAGCTGATTCGCCAAGTCCCGCTGGCTCTGCCACTGAAACTGTGCCCGAGTCACAGCCGACCACACACCCGATGTCCAGCGTCCACCCGGGACCCGGGCAGCCCACCTGCCGCTGCTCTAGAACGGAACGCAGAGGGTGGTCTCACACGCGGCCCTCAAGACGAGAGCCTGACCCAGGGCCTTTCCCCAGTCCCTCAAGCCCCCCTCCTGAGCGCACGGCTGTTCCCATGGCCACCCGCTGCCCCAGGGGATCCTTGGCATGCGTCATTCTGCACCTGGCCCCTCACCCATGTCTCAGGAAGGCTCCTGGAACCCCCCCTGGAAGGAGCCCCTCCGAGCCACTCACCCAGACCCACGCCAGCGGCGTCTCCTCTACCCTGCCCCACTACTGGAGACTCTCTCCTGCCACGCTGCTCCGTGTGTCTGCTGAGCTCCACAGCAAGACCCGGTCCACGCCAGGCCGCAGAGAAGCAGGGTGCCTGCCCGGGGGCACTCCCGGTGTGTGGCATTGGCCTGAGCTCTTGCGCCCTTGGACCGTTTTAACAGCCCAGGGTTTTAGGTATCAGAGCCACACGGGCAAATGGTGACAAGAGGCATAAAGGAAAACAGATTCGAATGTAGAAAAATAAAATTCACGCAGTCCAGAAACACCACGTACAAGGTTAAAGGAAAAAGCCTAGCTTGGCAGAGAAGTTGGAAAACACGTGACCCACTGAGGGGAACATCCTTAACACACAGACAGTACTCGGGCAGGTGGAGGAGGACAGACTTTCCCAGGGCGGGCAGGGCAGCCTCCGAGCCCCACCGTCCACGCCCTTCTGGGCAACCATGCAACCTGACCCTGGCACCCCGCATCGTCACCCAGAAAATGGGGTGACAGCACCATTCTCAGAGCCATCGGAGAACGCGGATGTCTACCCGAACCTGGTCTGCCAGGGTCCCTGCCACTGTGGCCCAGACACAGGGTGAGGAGGGTGCCTCCTTCCGCTGAGTGGTCTGCAAAGCCCCGGCTTCACCCCAGCCCCACCGGCTTAACGCTGTGATTCTCCTAAGAGCTGGGTGCTTCCCGGAGACACCAAACACGCCTAGCCGGCCACCTCAGGACACGGCACGGCCGGCCCCTGTCCCGCTCACACCCCGAGGCCTGCCGCCCCAACGCGCAGCCCCCGGCCTCGGGTGCCCGTCACTTCTTCCAGGACACCGCCTGCCCCCCAGGCTCCCCTTGTCCTGCACTGTGCTCTGGGCCTCCCCCATCCCCCCCACTCCCAAACGGCCAACCCTTTGAGAGCAAGGACCGTGCCCCCAGCGCCGGGCAGGAAGCAGGCGTCTGGGGGGACGGCAGGACCCCTTCCCGCACGCAGCGGCGGTCCTGGGTCAGGTGCGTGGAGAGAAGAGCGCACCTGAAATAAAGGGATGAGCCTCAAGGAAAACCCAAGGGTGGCCCCTCCCGGCCCGCGTACCTGCGGGGATGATGCCAATCCTCAGCGGGCTGGGCACGAGCGCCGCCCGCGGCTGGTCCTGGTCCACGCCGGCGTCCCTCTGCGTCCTGCCCACCAGGCCGTGCAGGACCTCGCTGAACATGCCGTCTCCGCCCACACAGACGATGCTGCAGGACGAACACAGGGGTCAGGCCCTCCACACCTGCCCCGCACCACCAGCCCCCTCCTGCGCTGGCCTCCGAGCCGCCTCCCAGGCCGCAGCTGTGCCCGTGCCCCATCGGCCGGCACAGTCCCCGCCCATCTCAGTTCACTCCCCGCTCCCGCGGCAGACCTCTTCACACCCTCCGTGTCTGCGTCCCAGCCCTGCAGGGAGAGGCTCCTGATGCCACACGGCCAGGCTCTGACAGGTCGAGAAGGGCAGGGCCTGGGGGACCGGGTGAAGGGCAGGGCCTGGGGCCAAGCTGCAGAATGCCCCTTCCTTCCCTAGCAGGCGAGGCTGACGAAAAACAAGCAGACAAGACGTGAGCTCGACAGGCTTCTACCCTCTGCCTTCCAGCCCCTGAACAAGGTCTCCAGGAACTCGGCCTCTTGGGCGGGTGACACGTGGCTTCCTCCCGCCCTGACGCTCCTCCCCCCGCCCACTCATGACCCACTCCCGCCGTGTAACCCTAATCCGCCTCCCTGACCCCTCCCCCGTCCAGGGAGGCTCTTCACACGCCTGAGGTCCCGAGCAGCACAGCTGCCCACCTGAGACCCTAGAGCCTTCTTGGGGCCCTGGGATGGGGCACAGGGACACTCAGCACGCCACCGCTCCTCAGCCTTCACGCTGACCCGACCGGAGGGGGCCCACAGCTCAGCTGACATCCCCCATACCAAAACCCGCTTCAGCTCATCTCATTGCTTGATGACACTTGGTGAGGACTCGGTCACGGGGACCAGCCGATTCTCCCCCAAACGTCCTGGAGAGCAGCCCTGCTGCCTCTGCCACTGTCCAGCCAGCTCTTGCCCAAGACCCATAACCTCTGGCAGCTTCCTTGGGTCCAATCCTCATTGCTACTTGCCACGCAGCTTTCAAGAGTATCTTTCCGGGGCTTCCCTGGTGGCGCAGTGGTTAAGAATCTGCCTGCCAATGCAGGGGACATGGGTTCAATCCCTGGTCCGGGAAGATCCCACATGCTGCGGAGCAACTAAGCCCGTGTGCCACAACTACTGAGCCTGTGCTCTAGACCCAAGAGCCACAATTACTGAGCCCGCGTGCCTCTAGAGCCCGTGCTCCGCGACAAAAGAAGCCACTGCAATGGGAAGCCCGCGCACCGCAACGAAGAGTAGCCCCCGCTCGCCACAACTAGAGAAAGCCCGCGCACAGCAACGAAGACCCAACGCAGCCAAAAATAAATAAACAAAATAATTAAATTAAAACAAAAGTATCTTTCCAAAACACCCGAGCCTGTAGGACATCTAGGTACAAGCTTTCTGGGGATCCTCACCACCTTTCCCCAGCCTCATCTGTTCATTCACGGAGCACCTGCCGCGTGCCAGCCCTGTGCCAGGCGCCGGGGACAGCTGTGCACAAGGCAGAGGAGGCCGGCTCTCCAGGAGCTGACATGCCAGCAGGTACAGACGCAACACAGATGCAGAGTCACACTCGGGGCCGGTGCCTCCTGTGGGGACGAGCACAGCACCCACTCTGCGCTGTCGCAGCCAGAAACGCACAAGCGGGTCCTGACCGAGAGGAAACCTCAGACAGACCCACAACCAAGGGACATGCTGCAAAGGCACTGGCCTGTTCTCTCAAAATTCAGCCACACCAAGAAGGCTGAGGATCTGGTCCGGGTCACGGGAGACTAGAGACACACCCACTGAGTCTGAAGGCAACATATGATCCAGGGCTCTTCTGCCTTAGGGAGTAAGGGGACAGCGGGCAGAGTCTGATAAGGACAGCAAATGGGTAACAGCATTCGTATCAGTGCTAATCTCCTGGTTTTGATCCCTGCGTTTTAGTTCTGTAAGAGAATATCCTTGCTTTTAGGAAATATACACAAATATTTAGGGACGAAAGCTGATCATGTCTATAACATACTTTCAAACGATACAGAAAAAATTTCTGTACGTAGGTGGTAAGACCGAGAAGGACAACAAAACTATTACACGGTGGTTTTCCAAGAAGAACGTGACTGAATGCTTCTGCCTTTGTCCTAATTTTCTAGGAGGAGGAGGGTTATTTTACTTCTACAACTAGGAAAAAAGGTGTAAGGAAAGGGAGTGAATTAAACGAAGACAGATGGGTAAAACTTGACGAGAATTGACTATTTATTAGTCAGATGAAAGACGCTTACTTACCCATCATATTTGTCTATATTGAGCTCATATAAACTCTCCTTGGCATGATTAGCACGCTCAGTAACTGTGGGAAAAAAACATATTACATTATAGAGTTTACACTCAAGTCTGTGAATCCTCTTTAAAATGAAAGGCAAGTCGGGTCTTCCCTGGTGGCACAGTGGTTGAGAGTCCGCCTGCCGATGCAGGGGACGCGGGTTTGTGCCCCGGTCCGGGAAGATCCCACATGCCGCGGAGCGGCTGGGCCCGTGAGCCATGGCTGCTGAGCCTGCGCGTCCGGAGCCTGTGCTCCGCAATGGGAGAGGC